TTTTGATAGATAAATAAATTAATGTTATTGTAAAAAAACCGCTAAAAATCGCAATTTTTTTCAAATACCTCTTCCAAAAATAAATATTTTTTTATGAAACTTGGTGAAAGGATAACTCTTGGCGAGCAAAAAAATGAAATGATATTTTCAAAATTGAAAAATATTTTATAGTATTTGCAAAAATCGAGTTTTTCGAATAAAATTTTTGTAAAATCCCCATAATTCATAGGCCGGTACATCTTTAGGAGCGAGGTTGGACTTAAAATTTTCTTTAATAATTACACTATTATGTGCAAATATTGCGCGAGCCTCAAATCGATTTCAAATATCGCAAAAAAACTATCGAAAAATCGTTTTTTTTTCAGGGCAATAAAACTCTGATTAACTTTTCGATTTCAATTCGTATCAAAATGTCGTTGCTGACATTTTTTAAGAGGCCGAGAATTTTTTTTTCGAAAAATCGCCACGACCACATTTATTAATATTAAGTTGTCATAGTTGAATACTTCTACTTCAATATAAAAAATATTCCGCAACCATTGGTCCCATTTTCTTTCATAAAATTTTTATGGGCCCCGTATATTGCTTGCTCGGCTCGACACGTTGATGTGCGCTGTTGTATGTCGATCATACGTAACGAACTACGTGTATTTTTTCTTTTCGTGTACATTTATAAATACATTTTTATCAGTTATGAATTTGTATTTACATAATGGTACGTATCTTATTGAGTTAATAAAATAATAAAAGTAATGTCGTTTAGTTGAAAAAATATTTTTGTGATTGTATGAAAATAATATTAATTTATTTTTTAACGTTTCTTAGGTCTCCATTTTTCTTCGCTACTACTGTTTGACATGATTTCTTGTACATCACCATCGTCATCGTCAAAGTTTTCTTCGTCTGATTCGATTTCATTTTCTGATAAACATGGCTTGTCCATATCTTCCTCGATATCTTCAATAACTATAGTTTTTTTTCGGTATTAGAGCAATTGTAGGTAACCTTCGCACTTCAGACATAAATTAGAACATTTTAATCCATGTTTTCGGCAGCTACACGCATTAGTTTTGTAATCACCGCTTTCGCATCTACATGTTTAATAAATGAAGAATTTTTCTACTTTCCGCCTTCTTATTTCTTCAACTAACCGACATTACTTTTATTATTTTATTATCTCAATAAGATACGCACCATTATGTAAATACAAATTCATGACTGATAAAAACGCTTTATAAATGTACAGGGTGATTCGATATATTTTGACCCCCCCTTTAACTTTTTTGTTTTAAGAGTTATAAAAAAAATGTGAAATATAAAAGTTGCATGAGTTTTTATGAATTTTTCAAAAATGATAGTAGAAAAACAAATGAAGTCCAAACAAAATGGCCGCGGATGTTAACTTTGTTAAGTTAAATGGAACACCCTGTATATGTTTACATATTTGAATAGAACGTTCCCCGTTGAGCATAGTCATGTAGGATTTGTTGGGTCTATCTCTAACAATAAGCGAGATACTATTAAAAAACCAAAAGAAGGTTTTTTATTAAGAAAATAAGACATTTTGTAATTGTTAAACCTCTTTCAGATATTTCTGCCTTTTTCCAATTACGTAAGGATTTACAGATTTAGTTATAATATAATTTGACAGATCGGACATTGATATGGTCAAAAATGCGTATAGGGACTTTAACTAAATCTCACTAATTTAGTGACAGTGTAACAGTAACAGGTAATGTCATGACGACATTGTTATTGTTTGACAGTTTGTATTATTATTTAATTAAAATGGGATACACAGAAGTAGAAAATTGAAATATTATAGGAATTAAAATAGAGCAAAGTTCTCCATACTCTATTTTAATTCTAAATAATTTTCTACTTCTGTGTAACCTATTTTAATTAAATAATAATACAAACTGTCAATCAATAACAATGTTGTCAAGACATTACTACCTGTCACTGTCACGACCTACCATATAATGTCCATGAGTAATTAGACCTCTCACGGCCTAATTAGTGAGATTTCGTTACATTACCTATACGCATTTTGGACCGTATCAATGTCCGATATATCAAAATATATTTTAACTAAATCTGTAAATCCTTACGTAATTGGGAAAAAAGGCAGAAATGCCTGGAAGAGGTCTAACAATTAAAGAAGTCTTATTTTCTTAATAAAAAACCTCTTCGTTTTTTAATATTATCTCGTTTATTGTTAGAGATGAACCCAACAAACCTGATATGACTATGCTCGACAGGGAACGTTCTATCCAAATATGTAAAAATATACAGGGTGTTCCATTTAACTTAACAAAGTTAACATCCGCGACCATTTTATTTGGACTTCATTTGTTTTTCTACCATCATTTTCGAAAAATTCATAAACTATCGTGCAACTTTTATAATTCACATTTTTTTATAACTCTTAAAACAAAAAAGTTAAAGGGGGGTCAAAATATAGTGAACCACCCTGTACATGAAAAGAAAAAATACACGTTACGTGGATCGACATATACAATAGTAGTATTACAGTCTTCTCCCCCAATCGCGCACATCAACGTGTCGAGCCCAACAAGCAATATACGGGGCCCATAAAATGAAAGTTTAATGAAATAAAATGGGACCAATCGTTGTGGAATATTTTTTATATCGAAGTACAAATATTCAACTATAACGCGTGTAAATTTCAGCCCTTAATATTAATAAATGAGGTGATGTCGATTTTTCGAAAAATAAAAAAAAAAATTTCGGCCCCTGTTGGTCGTAGGACAGACTTTTTTTTTAATTCGTGAAATAATGTCAACTTTCGAATAGCAGCATCGACATTTTGATACGAATTGAAATCAAAAAGTTAATCAAAGTTTATGGCCCTGAAAAAAAAAAACTATTTTTCGACTGTTTTTTTGCGATATTAGAAATCGATTTGAGGCTCGCGCAATATTTGCACATAATAGTGTAATTATTAAAGAAAATTTTAAGACCAACTCCGCTCCTAAAGATGTGCCGGCCTGTGAATTGTGGGGACTTTATAAAAACGCTTTTTTTTCGAAAAACTCGATTTTTGCAAAAACTATAAAATATGTTTCAATCTTGAAAAAAACATTTTATTTTTCTTGCCAAGAGCTATCCTTTCACCAAGTTTCATAAAAATATTTATGTTTAAAAGAGATACTATTTGAAAAATTGCGACTTTTAGCAGTTTTTTTTACAATAATTAATTTATTTATTTATCGAGCCTGGTTTGGGCTTATTCGATCCGTATTAAAGATTCCTACAATATTTGTTTGAAACATGTTTGTCTAAAATGAAAAAAACTGTTTTTTGCGAACCTTGGACGCCATTTTGAAAATGAAGCCCTAAAATTCAGGTGGGGTAAAGTAGTTCATTGAATTCTACGGAATTTTTCCTAATTTTTACATATTTTCAATTACTGAACCATTTGTTGGCAAAAAATGAGGTATTTTCGACAATTTGATTGAACTAATGAGCGAGAAGAAAGTACCGTGTCCCGTTGCGCAATGTCATTCAATTTCTTATGAAAGACAATATTAGTTCGAATGAAAATTGGCAAAGATTACATAATTTCAAAAACTCAAGTAAAATTTTGGCACAAAGAATTTCGTGAAGGACGAGATTTGTTCGAAAATAAGCATGCAGGGAGATCGTCGTTTGACTCTGACTGAAATCTAACAAAGAGTGAGTTATGGTAGTGTCCAATCCAGTAAAAATAAACTGCAGTTCCGGAAAATTTCTGCAAGGTGGGTCCCGAGGCTTTTGAATTAAGAAGAACGAACTGACGTTTCGCAACGTTATGAAGTGGAACGGGAAGCGTATCTGCCTCATATAATGACGTGTGATGAGACCTGGGACCATCATTATTATACGCCAGTCTAAGAGGACAAATAAAGGGTGATGGCAAAAAGGTGAAGATTGTCCAATAAATTCATTTGTCTGCGGGAAAAATTTTAGCAACAGTTTTTTGGAATTATGGAGGAGTTCGTTGACTTCCTTCATGATCGAAGAACAACTAATGCTGCATATTACTGCAACCTTTTAGATCAACATATCGGTCCAAAAAGTAAAGTTGTGCTATTCGGGACGTATTACTTTTGCATATTAACGCTTAACCACACACCGCTACCATAACCCAATAAAAATTATCTGACATGCATTGGACTGTTCTGGAACAACCTCTATATAGTGTGATTATCACATGTTTGATCCGCTTAAAGGAGAACGTTTTCAGACTGATGAGCAAGTAGAGTATATATTTGCTATATATTTAAAATTACCTTATCCAACAGAATTTACCGGTCACTGTTACTGTAGGACTTCAGCCACAGTGTGAAATGAATAATAATTTTTTAAATTAATTTCTCAAAAAAAGATGATGTACCTATTAAGCGAATCGCAGCAAGAGTCACCAGTGCAAAATTACATTAAATTTGCAGGAAAACATTTACCTATCCACTGAAATTACTATTTAAAGGGACTTATATTTGCTTAATTAAATTTATATCTGTAAAATAAACATAAAGCTAAATCAAACAGTATTTTACTGCATTTTCTGCAAAACATATTTACTGGAGTAATGTAAACATTTTCGCTATATTTTCAATATGTATTGTAAATATAATGTGAATTTACGCTGCCTATTTTCGGCGAACAAATAATAAGCCAGACAGTTTTCTATAATTCAAATACACTATTTGTCTGTAATTAGTTAAATCCAAACCAAGTTTTATTAGTTTACTTTATGCATCATGAAAACCATAGTTTTATACACTTGATTTGTTAAAACTTTTGGGTTTAATATGATACAAAGAATAATCTTCGGAAATCATGATATGAACAGGATTAATGAAAAGCAATGTAGAAGGCTTTTATTTTGTTATTTCTTGATAACTAAAGGCATATGGTGTTCCCTTCAGTTCATTAATCAAATTAATAATTCCTCTACAGACGCTGTAAATTCAACAATCCTTAGCTTTATTTACCTTGCTGGATTGGCGCTATCATGTCCACCTTCAATTACAAAGGTGTAAGTTTGTCCTCTCTCAAGCGTGATTTCAGGAATCAGCATATCATTAAGGTACCAAGCAATTCCCCAAGATGGGTGTCCGGTTATTACGGTGTATCCCCTTTTTCCACCAGTTGGACCGATTCTTGCGTTGAATGTAGTTTCTCCTGTAACAGAAAAGTGATATAATTTCAAAATTTGTATCATGTTATATCATAATATGCTTTTCTATGTAGATATTATTTTTGGCGACTCTTTAGAAACTTTTTGTCATGAACAAAAAAAATCCTGTTGGTCTATCATCTAGATAATAAAATTCTATATTTGAAATATCTTAAACAAATATTATTTATATCGGGTGTCTCACAATTAACACAAAATTTGAATTTTGCGCCACTTCTGCGTTAAACTATTGCCAACGAAAAATAAAAGAGCATGACAGCTGACAGCTTTTGTGCAGAATACATGAAAGAATAGCGCGTTTTCATTGATGAAGAATATTTTTAAAATAATGAAGGTTTGGCAGCTACTGTTTGCAATTTCGCACAAAATGTGGCCGGAAAAATGATTTAACCTCATCATTTGTGAAGAGATGAATTAAAATATTCGGGGAAACTGGATCAAATAGTGACTTTAAATACTCTGGCCATCCTTCAACAAGTCGATCAATATAAAATATCAAAGCAATCCGTGAGAGTGTTGCAGAGAGTCCAGGAACAGGAGTTCGGGAAGATCTCCAAAGCGTATTCTCACGAAAGATTTTCATCTTTATGCTTACAAAGTTCAGTAGACTCAAGAACTGAAGCCTACTGACCACGCAGAGTGAAGAGAGTTCGTTGAATGGATTATGGAACAACAACAAGTGGATGCTGATTTTTTCAAACAAAATCATTTCCGATTTTCATCCTGATGGTTTCCTTAATCGACAAAATTGTTCTATTTGTGGTTCAGAAAATCCACGAATGATCATTCTTCTTCGAAAATGTGGCTGCTCAGGCAATAACAGTCAATGGTATTTGCTATGGCGAGATGATAATGTAACCGACATGTGGTTTCAACAAAACAGTAAAGACAATAAAAAATATACCTATGTAAATATATAATAAAAAATATTTGAAAATAAAAATACACTATTTAATTCAAATTGTATATTTTTAAGAGTAACAACTGAAGCAATGCTTTGCAGAAATTGTCATATCCAAGCACATGTGATAGATGAAATTTATTATTATTCGATTTAAGGAAATTAAACAATATAAGAAAACTTTTTGTCTGTAATAGTTTAGAGATCAATATCTTGCAATTTCAAATTATAAATTAAAAGTTGTGGGCGGAATAGTGATCGCCACATTCTAAAATTACCCCTTAAAAGAGTACTTCACTTTTAAGGGGTAACTTGGGCTTTCGAATAATATTACATGAATTAGAGCCGTGATGTTCTAAATCTAAATCTAAGAAATAATATAGCTTAATTGAAAACATATTTATTTTTGACCCATTTTATCAATATCTACCTATTATTTTCGCCAGGGGCCATGGCTTGGGTCTATTTTCGTCGGCCAGGTCGTCCAAGCTGATGGTGCAGTCATGATCGTCGTAATTGCTGAAATCTATCCTGTGGTCCTCCGTGGTTTTGTCCGTTATGGAATGGGCGTTCGCCTCCTTTCTGGAATTTAACGGCCCAAAGGCCGCTATGACACTGACCTCCCCGTGTTCCGGTATTGGCTGGTCATTATTCGCCTCATTAGTCTTGAGTGGCCGGCGAAATTTGACAGTTGTTACGCCGTTCTTGCGTTCGCCAGATATTAGGGTCACATCATTGCGACCACCTATTCTCTCGTCAGGGCAGACGCCCAGCTTGCCGTCACATTGGGCCGTGTGCGACATGTAGTAATCCACGGCTTGGAAATCGAACGTCTCTGGGTCGTAGAATGCGACCACCACGTCCCCACCCACCTGAGGAGGAAAGGAACGATCAGTTTTGATAATTTTTTGCCTTATTTGAGTAATCTTCCAAATTCTCTTTATTATATCATACTCTATACAATGTCCTAGATGAGAATATATTGCTATCTCACTTATGAGAAATGCAAGAAGTCGAAATTTGATCTAAAATTTGATTCGTTGCTAATCACTCCAGAGAAAAATAAGAAAAATTTAAAAAAGTCTTTCATTGTTCTAAGAGTTATCCAGATAAGGACATCGGAAAAAAAACAAGAGTAACGTTTCTTCCAAATTCCAAAAAACGACAACATAATGAAAAATTAAAACTACCAAAATCTCAAAAAACTGGGGTGTACTTGTTTTTTTTCCATTTCAATAGTCTATTCTAGAATAGAAATTGTTATAAAAATTATTTCTAGTTAAAAAATGTTTTTTTTGTTTTATTAAATATTAAAAAATATTTTTTTGTTGTCGATGGACATGCAATAGTGATTTTTATGTTTTTTCTTCACAAAGGAAGCAAAGTACGAAAAAAATCAAGAGACAAATTTATTTGTATTAAGCCACTAAGCTTAATATAAATAAATTATAAAATTTTTAAACCAGTGGCGCACATTTTTTTTGTCAAAAATATTGGTTAAGGTGCCCCTGGGACGCTACTAGACTTAATAATTTTAATCTAGTTAGGGCTAGATTAGCCCCTTTCTACCATAAATAATACTGCCAAATATCAACAAAACCGGCTAAATGGTTATTAAGATTTAAAAAAAAAACGACTTTAAAAAGTTGACACCGTGTAGGTATCTTGAAAACGAAGCATTACCGAACCTATGTTTATATAAACTTTTTGTCTTAGAATCACTCAAAGAATATATAGGGATACAAAGATGATTTCTTATAATCAAATTTGGCCCATATGTTTTCCAAAAAAATTTAATGCAATAAAATGTGTAGTTATATTCGTTGATGTTATTAGTTTTTGACCATCTACTAGAGGTCGCTAGCTACTTTCTTTCCTAGTGACATTTTATGACTTTTTTGAGGTTAAGTTTTTGCAATTGAAAACGGGGGTGACTGTTAGAAAGTCAACCAACCTCTACTCCTTAATAATACAAGGTCTCCGGAAAGAGCAGTCTTGCATTCTTTTTCAAAACTAACCTCTGAGATCTAACCTCAAAAAAGATATATCATGAAATGTCAATGAGAAAGATCGTAGAAAACTAACAACACTGATTTATTATACCCCAAAAAAATTATCTATGCCAAATTTCAACACATTCCCTTGATTTTTGGAAAAAATATGGTTAGAACTGGATTTTAAAAAATAATTTTTGACGACCTGTATCACAAAAACAAGAGAAGATGGGAAATCATTTCTTATTTTTTTATGTTCTATTAGCTCCTGAATTTGGCATATTTTCCCAAAAAAACCTGTAGACCTTGAAATTGGTTCAGTAGGTTTTTCTGATATCCATGTGAAACAAAATTTAGACTGTGGAGACATAAACTATGTATCTCACATTTTTTATAAATAGGTACAAAATAAATAGCTGTTACCTACTGACAAGCACCTAACAAGTTTACCACCCATTCTACGAAAAATCTTAAAAAGCATAAAAACGTTTTTATTATGGTATTATGGGAAACAACTACCCTACAGGTTATATGCCATGTAATATATTTTACAAAAACTTTCATTGGAAATGGACTATCCAAATTTATAAAAGATTCTTATAAAAAATTACTTTTTGAAACAATTCAATCATTTTAAAATGTCATTTTTTTTCTAAATTTGATCTTTATACAGGGTGATTCAGTCATAATGTTATTCTTTTTAAGGGAATATAGAGGAAAATGAGTAAATTACGAATACACGATTAAAAAAACTTTAAACTGCTTATTTACGTTGAAAAAAAAAACAATTTCAAATCATTATTTAAACCCCTTTTCGGACCGCTCCTGACCGCTGACTTACAAAGGTTTATCGAGAGTGAATCTTGACCTACCTAGCTTTTATTGGATTTTTAATAGTGAACGACAAAAACTAACCTTTTTACCTAGACACATGAATTATATTTTTTTACATCTAAAATATTAATTATATTTATTTGTTAATAAAAACAAATATTTAAGGAAAACAATTGTTTTCGAATGTTAGGTTATTGCAATTTAGAATTTATAATATACGTTTTCTCTGTTATACAGGGTAAGTCAGTTTTTTGTAGTAGGATTTTAACAGTTAATAGAGAATCATTTTTTAATAAGGAAAGTTCCTATAAACGTAGGTCTTAGAACGCTTCGTTTGTGAGATAGAGTGTTGAAAATAAACTTTTTTTAAGAATTTTTCTTAATATCTCTAAAAGACCAACATATATTGAACTGAAATTTGGTATTAATATCACATTAGTTATGGTAAATAAAGCAAAGATATCTGTTATCCATTTCACACACCAGTGACGTGTCTGAGGTGGGTTACTGCCCCCTTTAAAAAAAAAGTTCGTACGCCCGTGGATTTTTCTGGAAAATAACATCATTTCTAAATTTTTTAATCAATTCTGAACAAAACAGCTCTCTTTCAATTTTTTATAAAATGAAAGGATTTTGGTTAAATTCATTTGGCATGAAACTGTTACAACGATATTGGTAATACATTTGTAATAAGAAAAATATGATGTACCCTGAAAATCAACAAAAACGATTAAATGTCATAACGTTGATATAAGAACGCAAACATTGTGTAACGTGTGTGTCAGTTAGTTCTTTTTTAAGTTCTGTGTTTGTTTTTTCATGCTAAAATTTAGTTTAATATCTGTTGGTCTATATCTCACAAACGAAGCGTTTTAAGACCTATGTTTATAGGAACTTATCTTACTAAAAAATGATTCTCTATCAACTGTTATTATTCATTCAATCGTTTTTGTTGATTTTCAGTGCACATCATATTTTTCTTATTAATTCACAAATGTATTAGGTACCAATATCGTCGAACAGTTTCATGCCATTGAAAGAGATCTGTTTTGTTCAGAATTGATTAAAAAAATTAGAAATGATGTTATTTTCCAGAAAAAATCACGGGCGTACGAATTATTTTTTTAAAGGGGGCAGTTACCCACCTCGGGCACGTCACTGGTGGGTGAAATGGATAACAGATATCTTTATTTTATTCACCATAACTAATGTGTTATTAATACCAAATTTCAGTTCAATATATGTTGGTCTCTTAGAGATATTAAGAAAAATTCTTAAAAAAAGTTTGTTTTTAATACCCTATATATCACAAACGAAGCGTTCCAAGACTTACGTTTATAGGAACTTTTCTTATTAAAAAATGAATCTCTATCAACTGTTAAAATCCTACCACAAAAAACTGACTCACCCTGTATAATTGAATATGAGTTTTTACTATTATGTTTCGCTGCAACGTTTGAACGCTCTGTAGTGCGCTGCGCTGGCGAATTCCCAGTCAGCAAATGTGATGCAAAGTGGGGGGTCTAATTAACGGGAGTTAAGGGGTAATTTGCTTTTTTTAAAGGTTGAGTAATTTATTTTTCGATTTTATGTCTTTATTAGGCCTTCTGAATACATTGTTAAAATTAATTCATTATGGCTAAATCACCCTGTACATAGGTTTGAGCTATTAATTAATTAAAATGTTTAAACAAAAAGATCTCTTTGTAGAAGCTGTTTCATTTAAGATTTTGTCAAGGGTAATGATAGAACAGCAAGAATATATTTCTTTGGATAATTATTCATTATTAGCTATGTACAATGTTAGTATAATTCAATTCAATGTAGGTCATAGAGTAGTTATTTTCCATAAAATCAGCAGTCTTGTCCATGGAGTTATTTTCCATATCTAGATTTCTGGTATCAAAGACTATTGTTAGACTTCATTTGATAAGACTTTTTTGGAAGAATTTTTTTGAATTTGTTTGAATTAGCTTAATACTTTTAAAAATGAGCTAATAATAAAATATATGTTTTTTCTTTTTAATAAAGATAAATGTCAAAATTATAGTGCAACTAAAATTTGCTATGGAATAAATTCTTAGAAAGCTACAAAATTAGTGAATAAATTAGAAAAAATTATCATAATGTTTGTTTTACATCTACCGATAACTTTATTAGGATAAATATTAGTAAATGCAAAAAGAAGTTTTACATTGAGTTTAGATTCATATTCTGCAAAAATGTTTGTACCTAATACTTACAATTAGATACAGATACACTATTAGATACAGCACACGTTTAATTAATTTGTATTGGTTTTTTTCAAAATATATTTTTTTTGACAATTTTCAATAGCAACTGAAACACAAAGATATAGGTATTCCGAATTTTTAGTTATTCATGATAATTTTGAAAAAAACCGTACCTAACTAATTGATAAAACTCCAAGAGGTGGAAAAAATTATATCCTTTTACTTACCATTCTAGGCGGATTAGGCGATCCCGATATTCCAAAGGCCATATACTGGTCCTCCCGAATTTTCCCAGACAGCGTTATCTCCACCTGATCATCTTTGATTTCCCAACGCACTTGCATGCGTTTATTTAAAAACTCTCGACAGTTCGTCGGTGCTGCTGTTCGTTGGGTTGTGCTTGTCTTATAGAAACAAAGAGAAACCATATGAATTATTAAAAAAATATATATGTATATTTAGCTGTCAGCATTGATATGGAAAACAAGCTATGGGTTTATGGAAGAGCAAGTGAAAAAACTGAAATGTTTATCTTGTTAATCCAGTAATGCAGTAAGTTAATATGTTATTCACATCACACAGTTAGTCAATTGAAAATTTATGGATTAAAACAAAATATTATATATTTTTACCTA